TCTCACATCCTACCCATGCTCTTACCGATTTCTCCCGAAACTTTGCTGTCAAGCGAAGTGGAGATAGACTTTTCCGAACAATTATTAGAAACAGCAGTTTTACATCGCTGTAAATCGAAAAGATCGATAAGAAAATCTCGGACCGAGTACTTCCCACTCTCCATACCAGACATCGGTTGGTGATTAAACAACGCACGACGTGCACTCGTTGCGAGACGGTCAAGACAATCGTAATTTGTCGCTTTCTCGGGCGCGGCAACGGGCACGGCATTTTCTTAGTTTGCATTAGCTTGTCAATTGGAGCATTAGAATTCCTGTATACTACGACTTCGTAGGACTATTTTTTATTACACTTTATCTATTGTGGCCATTTTCGATCTAGAAACAGTACATCAGTGGGCGCGACGTCGCACGCGGCCAACGTTGCGGCGAATTACGATTGTCTTGTCTCTCACCCGTTGCTTCAAGAGGCTTCGTCCCAGGGTGGGGCTTCGGTAGGGAACTAGTCTACTGGGAGTAAGAAATTGATTGAAGGTAGCACCGCTTGGTGCTGGTATTATTTTCGAACATGTGACTGAATGCGTTTGAATCTGATCAGGCAGGAGCGTGTGCGCGACGTCCGAAACCGGTTTCATAATCATTCAGCTGTTTTCGGTGCCGATATTTTCCATGAACTGTTACACCAATTAGGGATTGAAGGGCAATACATGCAATTAGACCTATGGCGGGTGTTCTTCAGAATGTGGCTATTATCAGTCTCATGAATGATCTCGTGTTAATCAAAATTTAGTGGCTTTTTTTACTTCTTTTTTGATAATGGTTTGTTCATAATTTAGCACTGAGAACACCGCCGAACCGTCGGTTTCGTCTCTACTTGGCTCGGTTTCACGCTTCGGTCAACCAATAAAAGTTCACTATTGCGACGCAGCAAGCGGTAGAGGAGTCCCTGAGCTTCTAGAATACCTGGTGGATTCACTTGTTCCGAGAAGGGACGATCCTTGATGTTCTGTCGATTGTCATGTTTTAATGGCTTCAAGCTCGTCGTTTGTCCCGTCTCATAGATGAAGTGCTACCAGCACACACTAAAACTCGTATTGTTTACTCTATAGATTTTCTCGCCAGAAGTATGTATTAAGGTGCAATTTGTTGATAATCTGATATACTTGGATAAGATGCAAAGTGTCATAGCTGTTTACTTTCATCGTTACTTTTACTTGGGTAGTAATTAAATGAACACAAAGTGGTGTGTTTTTTTTTAATGCTCTACTTTCTTCATTGGTGGCTTGTAAGGAGGCGAGATACCCCAATTTTGAAGGCACACTCCAGTCATTTTCATTGCGGATCCTGGAGCGCATCAGGAGGCTGCGGTTGGCGCGGCACCAACCCGTTCTTCAACAGTTGTGGTCGCTTACCAGCTTCCACAAATGCTGGAAAAGCGACTGGCGCCGGTTCTCCCTGACACGCCCCAGCATCCGCAGCGAACAAGACTATCTGGGCAGACCTGCTTGGGTGAGGCTTCATCATTAATGCCCCTTTCTTAAAGGAAACCATTAGGATTTCATGGAAAGAGCTCAGATGAAAGGATCAGTGGTTCGAGTGACTTCGCCCATACGTGGAATGTGTTTCATCAGATGAGAAGCTCAATAGAGAGAAGAGTTCCCGAGAAAGTGCCACACTTTTTCACTGTCAATGAAGTGAAGTGGAAATTGGAAAAAAAAACCTGGGCTGGTTCAAAGGCTTCCTGATGTAAGCGCCAAACGTGCACTCGACAACAAAGAAGAAATGGCGTGCGATAATAAAAATACATGCAACCTTTTGTAACCGAGTTTTTGGGGGAGATCTCGTGGTAGAGTTCATCCGCCACGCGGGCAACCTGGATTGCCTGCGACACGATTCCAGACTGAGAAGAGTGCATGGCTTATACCGAGGTGAGTGGTGTTTGCCGTCCATGTTACCCTGTACATTTCCACAAGGGTAATGTCGGACTTGTGGACCATTCTTCACTAAACCCTTCTCGTAACCCTCATAAGTTCCTTTTCTACCATTTTGTCATTTGCTCAGTCACGTACTACTCTTTTTAGATAGCGCTGAGTTAGACGAAGTTTTCGGATGACCCAGTTTTGTGGGCTTCCCGCATTTGCAAGTGTTGTTCACCATGAAAGGGCTATTGATTGTGCATCTGGTGCTCCTAAGTGCAGAGGCTTGCACTTGTGTTAGTCTCTCAGCGGGTGACATTTCTCAGAAAATAAGCCTGAAATTAGGCCGCACCACTTGCAATGACGAGCGCAGTTTCGGGAAATAGCAGGGTTGCTCCATGAGTACTTAGAAGCCCTGCACAATGTGAAAACACTCCCTAGCTCACCAGGATCAGGGGAACTGGAGGCTAAGTCTCTACCTGCTAGTAGGAATACCAGTGCGGATAGAAGCAAAAAAATCGCATAGATCGCCCTATTTGGGACCCCCCCCCCATTCAGTCAGGGATATTGCTGATGTTCAGTTGGTAGGAAGAACAGAAGACGTAGAGGGCATGAGCTAACTTCTCATCGACGTGTCCTCCAACCTATCCTAAAACAGCCTCTTCTCGAGTTGGCAGGTTCTTAACATGATGGCTTTATGACCTTGCTCTCCAGCTTCACAAGAGTTCACAGGCTTTGTCAGATCAGGACTTGTAAAGCGGAACTACGGACGCAATCACGGAAGAATTCCCCCGTCCCCCCAAACATCGCCAAAGCAGCGTCCTCTATATTATCCCAAAAAGGCATTTTGTAAACCCTGCCCCTGAGTTCATATCATCCCGGGAGGACTGATGCTCATTCCCAATTGGTCTCACCTGCCCCTTTCCACTGCACAGACTATTTCGCAGCTTTCCCCCTCAAAGCTACGGGTTCGCGAGCTACAGGTTCGTTAAGTGCTGCCGTCCGAATTCGCGGGTTTTGTTTAGTTTCACTTGCCAAACGGTGCAGGAAAAAAGGGCGCCAAAAACGCTTTGAATAAGGCCTCTGCTCTGGACAAGCGTATGAAGTAGTTGCATGTGCGTCCATTGCCCATTTACTAAAACGCCTCCCCTGAGCATGAGAGGAAAGGGCCCATGAATCAGCCACACTATGCCGTTGTACGGTATCATTTTCAAGTAGGTGGAGGAAGAGAAATGCTTACAGGCAACGTGACCTATTTGAAAATAACGTGCTCCGAAGAATCCAACATTACGAACAAAACTTTATTTTCGTACATTACTGAATACAGAAAACCGTATTAGAGAGCAATTGAGCCAAATCTGATGTCATGGGAGATCATACGAGGGGAATCTGATCAGATCACAGTGATTCCTCCGTTTTCTCTTCACTGTGTCGTCTCTTCAAATGGCTCGCTAGGAAGTCTTGATTCACAAACACTTTACTACATGAGGTACACTGAAAAAAAACAATATAAATACTCTCATCAATACAAACAACCGCGTCGCCAAGCGTACGCGTGCGTTTAAAGAAAGCTGACATCCTGTTTTACGTATTCATGCCATACGCCGACACGCAACGCAAAATACAGCACCCTTGAAGCATAAGTAGGGATTTGGATTTGAGGGGCGGGGCGCCCACCGGTAACTCTACGCTCTAGGCTGCATCGGGAGCCGAAGAGAACGTGATAAATTTGTATCAAAGGCACTCTAGACTTACACTTTACTTGCATAATTGCTTTCTCCGGGTGGCATCATAAGGGTGTGGTGGAGCACGGGTCAGTATTTGGGCGACACTGCGAGGGAAACTCCTACTTGCTGTACCATAAGAGGAATCTGCAGTAATGAGAAGAGGGTGAAGCGCCAGATGTTGCAATTGAGATAAGACCAATTATTTTCATGCGATCCTTTTCTTTACCTTGGACGCAGCTGAATTCTGAGGTGAAAGGTGGTCGCTATTAGAGTAACAATATGAGGTTGGGGGTTGCCTCTCAGGCGTAGCAGCTAGTTAAGCCAAATGCTTTCGGGGTGGTATAGGCAGTAATTGCAAAAATTCGCGATCCCAAAACCGCTACAAATTTGAAGGGTACTTGCAACCGCTCATATGTAAATGCAGCAATGAGCAGATCTCTGGCATTTTTAAACCAATTTTCAAAGTTTCCTGCCAAATATGCAGAAAAATTGTACGCCAGTATAGTTTGACCCTTCCATATGTTCGACCTTCTGGCACAAAAGCGCCCAGAAGTTGCTGACAGGTGTAGAAACGCGCGTGTTCTCGGAATCGGCTCGGAATACCAGCTCCGCATTCGAGGGTCAAGCTACCCCTAAGATGAAGATTTGGGCAAATCGACCCGAGAATAGAAGTGTAGCCCGGATTTCAGAGGGATTATCGTAAAGGGTAAGAAGTGCCAAAATGAAGTCACTTTCTGTTAAATAGTTACTGGGCCACAGTTGTAACTTATGTCGCGGTCGCTCTTAGGCGTGACATGTCTTCACATTAACGCGTTAATCCACAAGGGAATCCCGTGTTGCACGTTGTCATGAGGACGGCGTCTTAAAAACACGGTAATCAAGACTTGTTATGTGACGTCAGTGATGCGCCATTTATCTCTTAACAGGTAATGCACTGGACCACGTACAGTCTTTTGGGGTTTGTCAGTAGGAAAGGTCCCTGCCCATTTGGAGACGTTTCATCTATTATATATAAGTTGGCAAGGGACCACGATTGGTGGAAAACGAGCTGGCGCCGTGAAAAATCCACCCTCTGACACGCCTCTTCATCCGCAGCGAACAAGACTTATTTGTGCTACATCAAGTTCTAAGAACTTAGTATCGAAAAAGATAGCAGGCGGCTTATTGCGAGACCACACTTTTTTGCCGCTTGTAGACAAACGCAGAAATTGAATTTACCTTGAAAAGAGGAGTATCTTCATTGAAAACAGTTGCTTTTAATTTTTTCACTTCTTTCCTCTTCGAAACCAGCTCGGTTTTCAACTTTTGAACTTTGCTGCACCAGCTGACTTTGAGATTTCTGAAAATATGAGTAGAAAATTATGAGCCCACACCCCCTCCCCCTACCCCTCCAAGGCATCAACGATACTATTGAGACCGACCAGTAGATATTCGATTGAGCTGCTGCAATGCGAAAGAAAGCTTTCGGCTTCGTTGAGAAGCTTCATCTGAAGTGGCATCGAACGAGAGCATTGTGGGCAAGACAGCTTGAAGCGTTGAAAAACGAGCCAGACCACTTTCAAGCAAGGATAATGGATACCTCATCTAAAGAACAGAATGACTGGCACGATTTCATAAGAAAAGTTCAATTCAAAGAACTGACCAATAAGTTCCCAATTGGGAAGTGGTGTATCGGAGAGGATTTCTTTTGGCGACATTTCTTCGACCGAAGCGACAGTAACAACAGGCATGTCTCATGCAGCCGAGCCGAGCGAGAGACGGGTGCAGCACGCTATGTGAACGTTTTTCGACAAAATGTCGTTTCCATGGAGACCCTCGCGCTGACGTTCCGCTTATAGCAGTGGGAGACTTATCGGGTACGGAGCCATGCGACGAAATTAAACTTCAGCAATTCGAGGAAACCCTCATGTCCTAGAAGTACATTCCCAGAAAAAGCTACATACTTCTCTCTAATGCACTCGTTGTAATTAGCTACAATTTTAGCATTCCAGTAACTGCTAGACTTAGCTGAATAATTCAAAGCAAAGCTGCCCTTTAGAAATCCTCTTTATGTTAAGGCGCTTATTCACTTTCCTTGTAAACAAGTACCTAACCTCAGTATCGCCACCAGGGTGTTACCGTTAAAAAACAAAAAAAAAAAAAAAAAAAAAAAATTTTTAAAAAAAAAAAAAACCTGAAACGGCGCCTAATTAATTGTAAGTCGCCGTAAACACAAGCATAACACCGAATTCGGCGCTAGCACTGCATATGCATGAGGAACTAATGGCATGCTCCGGGGTATTCAATATAGAATAATGTGACATAGATAATTTTAATGATGGGTAATCTCGAAATGCTTCTTGTTGTAAAAAAATCTATACGCAGCAAATTTGGTGGGCAGGGGGGAGGGGGGTGTTGGGCGGCTTGAGGCTTACAAAAAAGTACAGCCTTGTTTGCTGCCAAAGTTAGGCAGTGTCAGGATTGGTCTGGGCTGCTCCAGACACTTCTCAACCTACTGTTGAAGCGGGACAGCGTTCGCATTGCTGCTTCGTGGGTCTAAGCGGGCCCGAGATTTCGCGAGTGATCTCAGAGCTATGCTCGTGGTGAGTCGTCTCCCAAACGATTGTACAGCATGATTTTTCTTCAGAACGTCAGCGGCGCAAACTGTAGAAAGTCTCATTTTCCCTTCAAACACCTCGATTTTCCCTGAAATGTAAGGGCCGCGGACTTGGCAGTGGCCTACCCCTGTCGTGTCACGAAAACAGCCACCTTTGATGTGAGCAGATTACTGAGTAACCTTCAACAGTGAGATTCTCTTGTGGAGAGACAGTCAGCCGGTTCAGATGCGCGGCAAGTGGAAAAACACGAGGTGTCAGTTTAACCAGAATTGAGGCAAGACGTTTTTGCCCGTCAGACTAGGCTCCCTTTACAGTTAGGCCTCTTGACAATAATTCTCATGCATCGAAAACCCCTTACCTCCACCGAAAACCTCCTACCACGTTTGAAGGGTTTTCTCCATCTCCCTTTTCCCGTCCCTTCTTATGATCCTAATTCGTCCAAAACAGATTACTGACCCCTCCCACTAAACATCCTCCTATTTTGCTGTCACCCTAACACCCTAGCAAGAATACCTCGGGATGCCCATTTTTTCTTTCCCACAATGACCTGGTGGTCGAGTCTATGTTATATTAGATCGATAGATCACGGGTAGACAGCCTAGGCTCAACATCGTTGGCCCCCGTCATGGGAAGAACCTTCGATCCTCGTTGCCAATCAAGGGGTACTGTACTCCATCGGCAAAGTATCTTAGATTTGCCCTTTAAAGGAAAAATGAATTAGACGCTTAGGAAAAGAAAATTGAACAAAACCGTAATTCATGTTACTCACAAACAAGAGGTGGCTTAGGTTTCTTTCAATAGTCTTCGATAGTGTACTTCCCTTACAGCACTTTGAAGCCTCAAATAAACTGCGAATAGTTTTTCGAAGAGTGTACAGGTCTGCGTAAGTAGTAGGCTGACCATTTGTGGACCTAGATATCGTTAATCTCTCTGAACCGGTTTGAAAGGAACACATCGAGGGGTCGTTCGGGGATGTCGCTGTGATCGCGACATCTCGCCGATGCGAAAGAGGTTTGTAGCGCGACTTCTCGCTTTCGTTGTCGCCGTTATCATCGCAGTCGCCCTTATTCACCGCTTTCGGCAAAACGGTTGGTTGGCACTTTCGTAGAGCGACTAGTAGTACCCTTCTTATGCATACAATATAATTTTATACATTGGCTAATTTCCATTTATTCATTTACCTTTCAACGTCTCGGCGTCGCCCATCCTTTGATTCCACTTGCTGTTTTGCCTGGTTTTCTTTGGAAACTTTATTGAAGACTTTTTCCAGCGGGATCGGAACGAATCGAAACAACTCCACCGGTCAGGGTTCAGAGAAGAAGTCTAATCGAGAAATCGGTACTACTTCGTTATGGCGACACCGACCCGCTCACCATCTTCTCGGCCTTCAGCCATTCTGATCGAATCACCGTCATTCTTGCTGCCTACGGCTATTTGATGTAAGTATTCTTTTGGTAATGAAAGTCTAGGCGCTGTTCGTCTCAACTGAGGAGTAGGAGGGGGCATTTTGCGCACTCGTTAGTTTCTTTTGCTACTCCTGTTGAATTTTTTTTGTGTTGACACCTGTGACCTTCAACCGTAGCTCCTGCTATAGCATAGCTTTAGGAGGGTTTACAGGTTTCCCCAGGAAGCACGGCTGTGATGATAGGAAGCAGCAGCCACCCCCAAGCCGAACTGCGCCAAAGTTTCTTTTACACATCCAATCAGCCGATGAATTTTTAAAAGTGGCGAGGCTCATTAATGCATGATTTTCACTTCCGAGTCAGATTACTGAAATTCAGGCGTCGTATATTCTGTCGTCTGTTTGATGAGGAAATGCAGGAAGTGTTGCCAGCTGGTCAGTCAGTCGTCTTTCCAGAGTTTACAGTACGGTGTCCGCCGAGTGACAAAGCGCGATTCGTGGCCTTGTCTTTAAACGCCGATGACCGCGTACCACAGCAAGATATGCACGGAATTCGGGTTGAAAATAAAGGTGAGAATCTAATGGAGCTCTAAAAATCCACAGTGTGCGGTGATGGTATGGGCGGAGACAGCCAAGTTCCCGCCCTCCCAAGGCAGCAAAAAGAAAGAGCGCGCCAGTGTGGAAAGCACGGCAGCAAAAAGAAAGAGCGCGCCAGTGTGGAAAGCACCAGTGGTTCTCTGTCTCCGTCAATATGGCCAACGTGGACTGTGCTTTTAAAGGCCAAGCTACCTCAGGATTTATCAGTTCTAGGCAGGAAGGATTTCCTTAGCGTGTGCTTGGCACCACTATGGGGAAGCGCTCCCAAATGGTTGCTGCTTATTGAATTCATAGAATACTATAGATTGCAGGTTCGTGCTTTTTCATGTCGATTTTGAGCGCCAACCCCGCTGTTCGTATAGGCATAGCTAGCCAACCACTCTTTCTTCTCCTTGCTAGCCTTCCCTCTTGTGCCACCTGTGCTAAGAAAATGGAAGGCGACAGTGAGAAAGGGAAGAGGGTTCCAGGTCTCCGCCTACATGGTCATCGTGGACTCTGCCTTCGGTCCATTCCACATGTTCATTTAGGGTGTCGAACATTCATAGCATGCTAATAAGACAGTTCTGTTGATAACTATACAGCAATGATACTGAATAACTACGAGATGGAAGGAATCGTTGAGGTGGTGAACGTCAGTGAGACCACAAACTGTCTGAAGAGGCATAGGTGTCGCCATGAAATGCAACTTCAGGTTGGTTTTTATCCCTTCAAAAACTGAAGTGGTCCAGGCACAGGCAGTAGGTTCCTCGTTTTAGGACTGTGTCTTTCGAACGCGTGGTCGAAGCGATTGGGTGGCCACGGTTGATCTCGATGAGCGAATCAATATCATTCGGGGGACGACAGTCAGGAAATATATCGAGCAAGTTTTATCCAAATAAAATTTCAGCTATGCCTTGCCTTGAAAATAAAGTATGGACGAAGTTACCAGATTTAAGGTTTTTGATTACTAGGGATACTGTAAATTTGGAAGCATTCAGCACTGATCAATCCCTTAACTTAAGGAGTCCTCACAGGAACGCCTAAATGTGAATTAAGCCTGATCCGTGGGTGAGGGGCTTCCCTTAGCCTGTGAGCGACTCCAGTCCAGTGTTTATTCCCGCATACAATGGAGGTCGGTTGTGGTGGCCACTCACAGTTCCCCAAACCAACCCCATCCCCTTCGCTGCAGTTTTATGAACTGATATCTGTCGCAAACTGGCGGGGGCTTCAACGCATCAGGAGGCGTGAGATGTGGTATCCGCGGCTCGCGTTTTTCTACAATAGTGATTATTTTGGATGGAAAACAACACCTATTGTAGAAAACGCAAACCATGTATAGGCGTCATGATCGCACGGCCTCCTGACCAAGCGCCCCGCTGGATTTACGACGATCGTCCAGTTACTATAGCTAACCTGCCTCAAACATTACCAGTTTTGCGTGGGTAAAATAAATGCTTAGCATCCTTCTCTGATTGCAAGAATCTGTCACGTCCGCCGAGGATTGGTGAGCATGCGTTTCCGCGGTGGGGCGATGTGCTCTACGTCTGAAGGAAATTCCGAGCGATCCTGTCCACTGGAGAATGGAAGGTTCACGTCTCCCAGTGGATGAATGGCACAACACCAGTCATGTCGCGCCACTGAATCATACTACAAAAAGTATAATAATACAACCATGAAGAGTAAGGTTGGGCCTACATAATTAGACGCGTTCATGGGCGCCGGGCTTGGAGGTCACGATTGCGGAGCGCGCATGAACGTCTTTAATGCTTGTGATTTCTCCCTGTAGTTGGGCCCTTAGTGCAAGTACCGCGCGCGGCGCCGCCCTGCCGTAATATGGACCTCCTGACTGACATCACCGGAATTTGGAGAACTTCCCTTCAATGGCTCTATTGTTCTTCTGCTTTCGAGACAAAAGGCTTCGCAGCCCACGTCTCCTTTGAGAGTTTTAATCCGCACCAGCTTACCACGTCAGGCCCATAGACGAAGACCTCTCTCCTTTTCCGAAGAAATATAATCTTGTACAAACGATTTTGATGACTTCTTGAGTCTATTAGTTCCGCAATTTATTGCTCCGTAGTTGCAGGTAGAAGGAATGGGAGTTCACCAAGTTCTTCGATTTTCACCAGGTGCTACGGTACTTCTTGTTCCACCGGAGGATGCAGTTGTGAGGTGAGATTCAACATCACACGGTTGCGCTCTGTGGTCCAGAACTAGAACTGAATCTCTCATTGTTTCAGGCATTATTCCGACGTGCACTAGGGGATGGACGTTTTTCTTGAAAGAAGCAGAGACATTTGGATCATTCGAGGACACTCACCTCCCTCCTGATCTATTGGAAGCGATTCAGCTGGAGGTCAACCAGAAGGTCCACGAAATTATTTGCCGTAATCTCAAGGCAAACTATTCCAGAAAGAACAGCGACATACTAATAAAGCAGATTAACTAAGATAGTAGTGATCTACATGCCGGAGGGCCTGATTAAAGCATAGAGAGTTTTTCAAGAGCTTTTTTTGCGGATAGTTTTGTGAATTCTTCTGGAAAATTTACTGAACAAGTCAAAAACCAGACAGATTCGAGATCTGAGAAGAGAACAGAAGAGGAACATTTCTCAGTGAAGACCACGCGGCGCATATTTGCACCTTATTCTCTTCCTCCGAGAATTCTGGGCTGACGGAAACTTGTCTTCACTGAGGAATTGCGGTCGGGAATGGGAGGAATTTTCTAGAGGTCCAGTACGCGGCGCGCAAACCAGACAGTTGAACAGCTTGTCGTTGTCATACCAATAGTGTGGCAGCTTACATCCAACCGTTTAGTTGACGGTTTTATGCTAGTCCAAGCTGCCATGACATATTCGATTCGACGTCAAACTGTCGAGTCAAAGTATTGGCTCGAACGCGATACTACCGCGCGTTGGGTCTAGAACTACATGATCTAACCTCAGTCCACGTAGTGCAAGAGTACCCTCCCCAAAATCGTTTCCATCCGCAGTCCCTAATGTCAGTGCCCTTGCAAAAGGGATTCCGCTCTATGCGGAGTTCGCTCGAGAAGGATTTCAGCGTGGTTCAGGGCCTCTGCGACAGGCGATATGATCGATAGCGAGAGCAAGGAGGAAAGAAATCTCAGCGGGGTTCAGAGCGCTTGCAAATTTTTATTCCATATATAGAGTATGATTCTTATTGAAGACCGCGTGAGAAGGGTCTTATTGAGGGTCTGAAAGCAACCTAACGTGCATCTCAGCTACCTTCAGAGACTCCCTTCGCCCCTACACAACATCGTTTCCATCTATAGTCCCTCATGCCCATCATTCCATCCTTATTAAAGACCTCGTGAAAACAGGTCTTATTGAGGGTCGGAAAGCGCCTAAGGAGCAACTCAGGCTACCGCTGCCGAAGACTCCATTCTCCATATCCCGCCCCCCCCCCCCCCACCCCCCCGCCCTACACAACATCGTTTTCCATCCGTAGTCCCTCATATCAGTGCCCTTGCAAAAGGGGTTCCGTCCTGTGCGGAGTCCTCTCGAGATGGATTTCAGTGGGGTTCAGAGCCCTTGCAATAGGCGATATCATCGATTGCGAGAGCAAGGGTGAAAGGGATCTCAGAGGGTTCAGAGCACTTGCAAATTTTTATTCCATCCACATCTGGAAATCGCCGTTTGAAAGGGTCTTATAGAGGGTCGGGAAGCACCCTAAGGAGCACCTCTGCTACTCTCGAAGAGTCCCTTCCCCAACCCCCCTCCCCCTCCATCGTTCCCATCCGTAGTTCCTCGTGTCGGTGCCCTTGCAAAAGGCATTCCATTCTGTGCGGAGTCTGGATGGATTTCAGCGGGGTTCAGAGTCCTTGCAATAGGCAATATCATCGATTGTCGCTTCCGCAGGAGCTCTTTTATCACCTTTCAGACCACATGTTTATAGGTAAACTCTTTATCAACAATAACAACGTGAGTAATCACAAAATACATAATCATGATGAACAATCTGAAATATTGTCAGGAAACAACAACAGGTGATAACACACAGCAACAAACACTACAAATCAACAACGGGAAAACAAATCGAGAGTAGCCTATATAAAACCTTCGCAGATATTTTCTCCAAATTTGCTCTGAAGCAGTCGTACCACACGATCACACTGTTCTTCTACATTACGATTTTCATCTAAAAAAACGTAAACCTCATAAGTACAAATTCTTTCAGAAGGAACAAGGGGAGACGGGCAAGAGAATCGTAATTTGCCGCTCCGCCGCGCGCGGCGATGGGCGCGGCGTTTTCTTAACTCGTGTTAACCTGTCGACTGGAGCACCGGACTTCATGTAGACCCCGTCATCGTAGACATTCATGACTATTTTCGGTTCTGAATTGCCTGTTGTCGCCATCTACTACCTGGAACCATCGTCATTTGCGGCGCGACGTCGCACGCGACGCCCATCAGCGCGGCGAATTACGATTCTCTTGTCACATACCCCAAAAAAACCTCTGCTGAGACGACGCGATTCAGGAAATTCGATATGTGGCGGCACTCCGCCAAAAGTGCCGCCTCGTGCGCGGCACTCGCACCAGAGTTCAATTCATTTTACGACGGTATTAGAGTCTGTTAGTTGAGTATACGGCAAACGGAGTCGTAAATTTTTGAACACGACCATCTTAATCTTTCGCTGAATCACACGAGTAGCAGTTTTACCGTGCCACCGGCTGGGGAGTGGAGAATATATAGCGTGTGTAGAAAAGGAAGAACCATCAGTGGAAACAGTTCCCCCTAAGCCATATACGACGCTCCTCCCCTCCAGCGACCAAATACGACTACCACTCCAGGGGATCCCTAACGCACGACCTGCCCTGATTGCTGTACGTTTCAAGCCAGCTCATTCGTGTCATCGCAAGACGGATCATTTAATCCCCATTCTCCTGCAACTTCGCTGAAAAACCCACATACCTTCGAGTAATTCGCTAAGGAATGGCAGGATCATCGGTAAATGTGGCGCTACACCGTCTCCAACCTTTTCTAGTATAGCCTCCATAACAAGTAATGCTCGATAGCGGATCTGAAAGTAACACTCGAATAAGAACAACTGAGAAAAGTAA